GAACAAAGTCTCTTTTTTGAAGGGACATTATTAACCACTTGTTCAGACACCTCAGCAAGTTCAGTGAGTCGATGACTTGGCAAGTTCAGGAAGTAGACGACAAATTTTCTGTTATAATGCTCATAAAAAATTGCTCATAAAATTTGTTTTCCCCTATATAATTTACTTGGTCAGCAGAGTTTGAATTGGTTTTATTAAAACAGGATTGGCCATTTTAAGTGGTTTTAAAGAATTTTTTAGTTATGTCTATTTTGCAGGAAATCTCCTTTGTACACAAAAGATTAAGTTAAAGTCATCGCATTGTCCATGCAAAATGGTTGTGCCAACTGGTTAAGGTATTGGCATTGACAAGCTCAGTACCTCAGATAGTTGACTGCAAAGAGATATCTCTAAAAAGCTGAGAGTTCTTAAAGGTATCCTGCAAAGAAATAAAACAAAACAAAATTGGGTTTATAAAGATGACCTGAAAGACTTTGTGTTCTGCTTGGGGTTTTAGTTGTTGTTTGGTTTTACATTAGAAATTCAAGTCCTGTCTTCCCAGAAGACTGTAATGGCTGGAAAACTAGTTAAATGATGTCATTTCAACAGTCAGGAAAGTGAAATTTGAGCATTCAAGACAAGAGGAGATCTTTAGTCAGATTAACAAAAACTTTTATTTATTTATTTGTTTTGTCACCACCTATTTAACTTCAATGGCCAATTAACATTTTGGATAAAGGACATCTCTGTTAAAATTCAGCACCCTAAGGCCTTCAATTTAGGTGTAATATCACTCCATAAACATGAGAGAGATACACATCCTCCTCTAAACACAGGAAAAATCATAGTTGGTATTCCTGATACTTTAAGGTAACAATCAAGCAAATGCCCCCTCCCTCCCCCTACCTTCTTTATACATCATAAAGAAGGTAAAAAGAGTACAAGCCTGATTTTTAAAAAAGGCTTAACTATTTGTTCAAACTAAATGTTTAACATCACCTTTACAGCTTTTAGATTGAAAGCAGTAATCTGTTTATCACACTACCAGCCATTTTTAGGGCAAAGTTCTCTTGCTGTTTTGATACAGCAGGGAGATTGCAATGAGAGCTGAACAAATAGAAGGAAAATTATTGGCAGTCAGTCATTAGACTTTAAAAGCGAATTTCAATTCACCCAAGTTCAGAAAAGTGAATTGCACGTTATGCATTGATTGTTAAATTTGTAATTCAGACTTTAGGTTAGTTACGTAAATCACTGAATGCCTTTTGACAATGGACTTTAGGTAAGGAAGTTCCAGAGATCTCTGTAAGTCTGTGTTTGCTTGAGCACCATATGACTAAGCATTTGGGACATGAAGCCACAAAAACATTTGAAAGCTAGGACTATTATTCACTGTACCCTCCACCCTGTCTCAGGAACATTGCTGGAAATGATATAGTTGGATGACAATTATGACTTTCAGGTGATCATCCCTCCCACTCAGAAACAGATTAAAAGTAACTTTACACAAATAACTTTTAAAAAATACAGATTAGAATTATTAATAGTTGTGCTTCAAAGGCAGGTAATAAATACTAATTAAGGGCAAAATTGCCATTTTACAGACTGTCCCATATGTAGGACAGTACGTTGTGATGCCCCAAGAGGAGACCAGAAAGCTGATTGTGATTCTGAATCATAATCTGTCTCCTGGTTTCCTTCTGCTCCAGCAGGGGCCAACCCCATAGCTAGCACAGCGTATGTCCTCATATATGCCAGTGCAGCTGAACTGGTTGGCAGAACCAATGATCCACCCATTACCTGCCCCATACTGCCTGTTCTCCACCCACATATCTGGGGAGGAAGGGCATAGTGGCCTCCGGGAGACTACTGTCACCTACATACTGCTACCCATGCTATGACATGCTGTCATGGTTCCTTCCCCACTCTGAACTCTAGGGTACAGATGTGGGGACCTGCATGAAAACCTCCTAAGCTTACTTTTACCAGCTTAGGTTAATACTTCCCCAAGGTACAAATTAATTTTACCCTTTGCCCTTGGAATTTCCACTGCCACCACCAAACTTTAACTGGGTTTACTGGGAAACATAGATTGGACACATCTTTCCCCCTAAAAATCCACCCAACCCTTGCACCCCACTTCCTGGGGAAGGTTTGGTAAAAATCCTCACCAATTTGCATAGGTGACCACAGACCCAAACCCTTGGATCTGAGAACAATGAAAAAACATTCAGTTTTCTTACAAGAAGACTTTTAATAGAAGTAAAGGAATCACCTCTGTAAAATCAGGATGGTAGATACCTTAGAGGGTAATTAGATTCAAAACACAGAGAATCCCTCTAGGCAAAACCTTAAGTTACAAAAAAGACACACGGCCAGGGATAGTCATTCTATTCAGCACAGTTCTTTTCTCAGCCATTTAAAGAAACCATAATCTAACACGTACCTAGCTAGATTACTTACTAAAAGTTCTAAAACTCCATTCCTGGTCTATCCCTGGCAGAAACAGCATATAGACAGACAGAGACCCTTTGTTTCTCTCCCTCCTCCCAGCTTTTGAAAGTATCTTGTCTCCTCAGAGGTCATTTTGGTCAGGTGCCAGCGAGGTTACCTTTAGCTTCTTAACCCTTTACAGGTGAGAGGATTTTTCCTCTGGCCAGGAGGGATTTTAAAGGGGTTTACCCTTCCCTTTATATTTATGACACATGCTGTATGTGCCACAGACTGCATAAGACAAAGCATATAATTTCTCGTGCTCAGATTCAGCAAATACATGTTCAGCCTAATAAACACAGTTTAATTCCTTGCACTGTTCTTATAACCATGTTTGTCTAGTATATTAGAGACACAAGATGGGTGAGGTAATAGCTTTTGTTTGACTAAGTTCTGTTGGTGAAGGAGACAAGCTTTCAAGCTACACAGAGCTCTTCTTTACCTTACCCACCTTTGTCTCTCTGCAATTTAATCCTGGCAGTGGAATTAAATTTGCAAGTAGATAGGTTTGCCTTACAAAATTAAAAACAAACAGCATTTATTCTACTATGCTACTGGTCTAAAATGCTGGAGCACTTGCATTAGTTAGTGCAAATAGTTAAACAAATGTTATAATACTGTATAGCTTCATTAAAGGCTGAACATAAAGAGATGAAAACTGGACTGTAATATCGGTTAATGCTAGTGAATCGGCCAAGAATCAAGGTAATGAAGAAATACATTTGAAAGGATTAACATTGCTGTGGAATTTACCATTCCACGAGGTCAATCCTGTGGGATTCAAGAGGAAGACTGTGAAAGAGCAGGTGAGTGCCACTGGTACGTCTACTGGAGGCTGTTTCTTTTTTTCAGTTGTGATCCAGTAAGGTAAAGTAGGTTGAGAGGAGCAGGTGCTGCGAGATGGGAAAACCAGAATAGATCATAAGGCAGAGTATAAGAGATGAAAGAGATGAACTGATAAATCCACATCCATTCCTGGTGTAAGTGTAACCCACACACCTCCTGGGTGTGGTGTTCTGTCCCATCTAGTGGCACTGAGACCACTTAGAGCAGCGGTGGGCGAACTTTTTGGCCTGAGGGCCAATTCAGGGAATGGAAATTGTACGGCGGGCTATGAATGCTCACGAAATTGGAGGTAGGGGTGCGGGAGGGGGTGCGGGCTCTGGGGTAGGGCCAGAAATGAGGAGTTCAGGGTGCGGGAGCGGGCTCTGAGTTGGGGTGTGGGGGGAGGTGAGGACTCTGGGGTAGGGCTAGGGATGAGGGGTTTGGGATGCAGGGGGGGTTCCAGGCTGGGACCAAGGGGTTCCGAGGGGGGATCAGGGCTGCGGCAGGGGGTTGGGGCATGCGGGAAGGGTGTGAGGGCTCCGTCTGGGGGTGCGCGCTCTGGGGTGGGGCTGGGGATGAGGGGCTTGGGGCACAAGAGGGGGCTCTGGGCTGTGAGCGAGGGTGGGAGGGGGGATCAGGGCTATGGCAGAGGATTGGGGTGGGGAGGGGGGCTGAGGAGTGCAGGCTCCAGGTGTCGCTTACTGCAAGCAGCTCTTGGAAGCATGTCCCTTCTCCAGCTCCGAGGCACAGCCAGGCGGCTCTGCATGCTGCCCTGTCCGCAGGCGCCATCCCTGCAGCTCCCATTGGCCAGGAACTGTGGCCAGTGGGAGCTGTGGGGGTGGCGCCTGCGGATAGGGCAGCGAGCAGAGCCACCTGGCCTCGCCTCCATATACTACATAGGAGTCAGAGGGGGGGGTCATGCTGGCTGCTTCCTGGGACCCGCGCGAAGTGGGGCAAGCACCCGACCCCACTCTCCCGGCTGGGGTGCTGGAGCGGGGCAAACGCCCAATGCTGCTCCCTGGCGGGAGCTGAGGGTCAAATTAAATGGTCTGATGGGCCCGATGTGGCCTGCGGGCCATAGTTTGCCCACCCCTGATTTAGAGAGAGATTAATCAGTGTGCTCTACAGTCTTATCTAACAACTGTATGGCTTTTAGCTCATGCAGTAGAGGCTCATGCACTAAGCTCCAGAGGCCCCAGGTTCTATCCCACCCGTTGTGGCTGGCCTTATATAAGGTGGGGCCTGGCTGAACTCTAGCTCACTCTTATTTTGTTCACATTCCCTCCCTTACAGCCAGTAGGTAACTGTATTATATAACTTGAGTTAATGAAGCCCTTTCATAGACGCATAGACTTTAAGGCCAGAAAGGATTGTCATGATCGTCTAGTCTGATCTCCTGCATATTGCAGGCCACGGAACCTCACCCATCCACTCCTGTAATAGACCCTAACCTCTGGCTGAGTTACTGAACTCCATGATTTCAAGACTTCAAGTTACAGAGAATCCACCATTTACACTAGTATAAACCTACAAGTGACCCGTGCTTCATGCTGCAGAGGAAGGCGATCTTTGACAATAGTCATTAAAGGAAAATTCCTTCAATTCTGGCATTTTCTCTGCTTCACTCTGGCTTTCTGTTGTAGTTAAATCTCAAACACTCAGCGGCTTTTCCAGATCAGTGGTGCCCCAGATTGTATTGCCCTTTCTCCTCTCACACGTTGGAGAAGTCCCAGAATGCATGAGATTTGAAGACAGCAGCTGGCTTAGCAGAGCTGCTAGATCTACTAAAATACCAGGAAGAATCAGTAAAGGTAAGGAGGCTCTTTGGGAAACGAATCAAGTAGAGTGGAATACTTATCAAAATTTTTATGGGAAAACTGTTTCTGGTTCAGTTCAGTTCAATGTTTTAGGACAGTTCAGAGTTTTTTGTCTCCTCCTTCCCCCATACAACTTGAAACCAAGAGATTAGGTCCTAATCTAGCTTCCATTAAACTGAATAGAAAAACTTCCATTGCCTTAAATGGGAAGTTGGATTGGGACCACAGTAGCATTCAGAACAGGACTAGATGACATTGATATGGCTAATAAGAACATGCATAGTTACATTTGATAGGATAAAAAAATCACGACAGATAGAAACCTTTGTGCTTCACCGTATACCTTAACCACGCATTGACAGTGGTTGGGAAGAAACATCCTGTATGAGCAGGTTAATATATAATTGTCCATAATAGGGTTTTGCTCCTTCCTCCGAAGCCTCTGGTTCTGGCTATTATTGGAGACAGGATAGCAGAGTGCATGGACACAGACTCCGGCTTTGAGCTGGTAGGTAGCCAATCTTCCTTCTCTATTATGTACATGTCGGGTGACCAGATAGCAAGTGTGAAAAATCAGGACGGGGGTGGAGGGGTAATAGGAGCTCATATAAAAAAAAGCCCCAAATATCGGGACTGTCCCTATAAAATCGGGACATCTGGTCACCCTATGCACGTGATCACTTCACAAGTGAGCTCCAGAGACCATCAACCAAGGGCCTGATCCTGCTAGGGCAGTGTGCAGGCATCTGCATGCCTTTAATCGCCATTGAAGTCAATGGGTGGTTATTATCTCATAGGAGGTGGCCAGTACCTTGGAGTTTTGAGTTTCATGTCTTAAAATTTCTAAATTAGAAAAGTTTATAATTCATTTCCATAATGGCCTAATTTTTTATCTATGTATTTATTTAATTGTGCTCATTATTTTGAATGGAAACTGCTCCAGTTTAGTGACATTATTGAATCTCAGAAGGATTCTGTTGCATTTTTGAGAATATTCCTTTGGTTATGGTTTCTTTTCTTTCTTTTATACAATAGTAGCATCATCAGAAATTTTCACAAGCAAACATCCAGAGCCACCTTAAAAAAGCAACATGAAAGAAACTAAGAAACCAGCTGCAACTGAGAAATTCTGCTGTATTTCCAAGCTTAAGGTGATCTTTTAATTATTTTATTTATTTATACACACAGTTGTTGTAGTTGCTTGCCTCTAGGTTAAAAGTTATAAACCAATGGAATTGTAGGTACAAAGGTAGGAAGCACTGATTATTTTAAAGCTCACAGTTAACTATAAAGTTCAAACATAGTTTACTGTAAAATGTTGTTTAATGCCATCACCTTAAGCTCTGTGATGCACTGGAGGGAGCACTTGAAAGCTCCTTGTTAAAACTCCCCTCCAAACTGAAGGAGGGACTGAGAGGATTTCCCCCGCTCTGCTATAGACACCTCATTTCTGGAAACTGCTAAAGGATTCTTGGCAAAGGTGACATACTTGCGATGAGCTAATATTTTGCTTTGAATATACCAAATTGTATTTAGTGGCTTCATTTTGTGTTAGTATTTCATAGTCAGTTTGTTACTAGTGTTTCCTACACTTGAATATGATTGTTAAAAGTTTGGAAGTTACTTAAAAATATTCTCATTTTTATTTCATGTTTACTTAGTAATACCCCCAGATGTAAAGGCATCACTCAGCAAATGAGAGCATTTATATTTAAATAATCTCTTATCAATTACTAAACATTACTTGAAAAAAGGACATATTATTATTTACCATATTTTAAATTTACTAACTTTGGGCCAGATTGTGAACCCTGCTCACATGGGAGAGTAGTTACTCACACAAGTAGTCCTCTCAAAGCCAATGGGACTGCTCCTAGGAGTAACTGATGACCCACATGAGTAAAGCCAAAGGCCTTTCAGGTCACTTGGTTGGGGTTCTTTTTCTTTTGGTGCATGTATTTATTCAGTCCCGCAGATGGCACTCTTGCAACAAACATCTGCTCAGTGTGGAAATTCCTGCACCTAGATTGTCTAAAAACGAACCTCAATCACATCCTTGGCTGTAGAACTCGATGTTAAGTAGTGTCTGGTGAAGAATGGGGATCTGAGGGTTCTGAAGGATGAACAGCAATGATAACACAGATGTATGTGAACTGGTGGAAGATAAAAACCTGCTCTCCTTATTCATGGACGTAGTCCCACTGAAGTCAGAACACGATGCGCAAGTACAGCAAGTACGCAAATACAAGCGTATGGAGTTGAATTCATATTTAGTTCAAAACTGCAGGACTATGTATTTGCTTTCACTGGAAACACAACGTTGTTGGGAAAAGTAGCTATGAAGTATGCCTAAATCTCCATGCTCTTGTTAATTTGTGTGTGTATTCTTCTCTTCTTCTCCCAGGTATTTCTGCTGGCATCATCATTTGCATATCTAGCTAAAACTATGTCTGGGGCTTACATGAATAGCATGCTCACACAGATAGAGAGAAGATTTAATATTCCAGCCTCTCTGGTGGGCATTATTAATGGAAGCTTTGAAATTGGTAATCATTTATTTTAGTATTCTTTGACAAAACAGTATTTTTCCACAGCTGGGGTGAGGGGCTATTTCGGCTCTTCCCTTTCTTCATTAGTTTGTCTGGTTTTGCAGCCATTGTGTGACCTGTAGATGTGTCTGTGACCAGATCCTATAAACTGTTACTCGTGTATTTAGGCCCATTGAAATCAATAGGACCATTTATGTGACAAAGGGAATGCAGATGCAAACTCTGGTTCGACTAGCTTGATCTGCTTAGGAGCTTCCAAAGAACACCTGACTGTTATATTTTGCCAATAGAACATCCAGTTTAACACCAAAGATACTATTTAACATTTATATGGCACTGTTCATCAGCAGATCTCAAAATTCTTTACCCTGGTAAGTATTCTTATCCTTATTTTATAGGTGGGCAGATCTTAAAGGAGTAAAAAGCTGTAAAAACATACTTCTGTAACTAAAGTTTGAAGATTTGACTCTGAACAGACAGGGAGCAGATCCATTGAGAAAGAAGGGTCTATTTTTTGGGTCACTTTTCAGAAAACAACTATATACACTTTAATGCTTAAGAACAGGATTGTCCCCTGGAATTGTGGCACCCTCCTGACTCCTCTTTCTGGCTACCTGCCTCATAGATCATAGGGCTAAGGGAGAGTAGCCCCCGCTGGGGCCACTATTCCATCTCCTACACCAGTGAGTGGGGAGTGAGAGAGCAGGGGGAGGGAACGGACCGACCCCTGCCTCCACAAAAGGTATAGATCAAAGTGCAAGCCTCGAGCAAAGGGCACTCGGTAGCTGAGCTGCTACAGGAGCAGACAAGGAACCAGACTTTGTCTCTAAAAGGGTATACTTTACAGTGTAGGTCCTGATTACCCCTTGCTTCGGGGGCGGGGGGAGGGGGGAGAGGAAGAAATCTGCATTAGCCCTATAACTGGCACAGATTACTTCCCCTGGAATGCCGGCTCATTGATGCTGGCTGATGCAATGGTGGGGGATGGAGCCAAGGATCCTTCCACTTCTCTCCCTTACCTGCCCACTCTGCAATTCAGTCCCATAAGGCAGCTCAGAATAGAGCCCTTGGAGGGAGGGACCTCTGAGGGATTTACAGACCCACCCAGGGTAGTCTCATGCTACAATAACAATTGAAATAACAAAGGAAATTGCCAAAATTACTGATGCTGGGTCTAAAAAGGTGATGGTTTAAAACTAATTAACCCCTGGTATTAATATGAACACGTAACTGAAAAGACTTGTGGATATTGTCATCTTGATTGATTTAAAATTTCAGGATTAAAATAATCTTAATATGTAATGTAATGAACTCAATAGGAATGCTCCAATGTAGAAAGTTGCACCCATACTTAAGTATAAATGGGACTTTTGAGCGTTACACCTGGCTCAATGCAGTTTGACTATCGATTTATATATAAAAAGGATATGCCAGCATTTCTTGCACCTTTCTTGGACACAGCTGGCACTGGCCATTGGCAGAGACTCAATACTGGACTAGATGGACACATGATTTAACCCGGTATGGCAGTTCCTGTGTTTCCAATAAAAAGGAGGATGTCTTAACAAGTGTGTCAGAAATTATACCTGCCCTGGACCATTTTGGGTCTGGTTCTGCTCTTAGTTATACTGGTTATAAATCCAAAGTATAGTAAATCCAGTGAAGTCATAGGAGCTACATAGGTATAAGATGAATGTGAGTGAGATCAGAATCAAGCTCTTTGAGTCTATTTATATTTTATAATGACATTCAGTACAGTAACCTCTTTTTTTCTCCCCTATTAAGTTATTTTTGCAACTAATATAAATGAATCAATTCTTCTCTCTATATGTGTTATCTTGTATTTATTTTCAGTGTTGAAGTACTTAGATTTATATTTCTGCATTTTCCCCCATCATTGCATTTATGTGTTAAAATCTGTGCCATAAAATTTGTATACATAGAAAGTGTCCTAAGAGAATAATAACGTACCAAGACATGTACTATCTTGGAGCTGCAGGGCCTAGTTTCTAGAAAACAGTGTTTACAATATATCATAAAGCTTTTCCTCACATGAAATGTTCCCTCTCTAAAAAGAAATGATTTAATGGGGGACTTTCTTTATCCATGTTATTCCTCACAAATCAGGGAAGAAATAAAGGGGATATCAAACTGACTGCACTATGTAGCATCCCCATCAGAACTTAGAGAATAATAGATTTTTGAGTTTGGTTTCCAAACAAAAAAATACGCCGGGGGGGGGAGTTGATTAGTTTTGAACAGAATTGAAATGTTGTTTGTTTTTCCTTGCCAAATGAAAAAAAATGGTTTGTTTAGAAAATGTAGTTTTAAATCAATATTTTGTTTCATTTTAAAACAAACCATTTTGACATTTCAAAATGTTTGGTTTTTAATTGTTTTTCAGCTGAAATTAATAGGTCAATTAGACCCAAATTTGAAAATAGTGCCAGTGCCCTAAAAAATGCATTTTTTGGCAAATTTTTATTTGCTGAATAAATTTCACCCAGCTCTAATTCACATGGATTTCTGTATTCATCCGTGTTTTCTCCATTAACTTGTAATTTACATTTCTCTGAAAGTGCACTGACGGCAGTAATTTAGTACGCAGGTGGTTGTTTTCTTCTTCTGACAGCCTCAGTTGATATTCTCCTCTTTAGTCATAATTTCTACTTTACTTAACATTCTATTATCAGAATATTTCCTAGTTGGCCTAACCCTTTACGCAAAAACCACAGATGCAAAAACCATAGATGGAAAAGTCTTATTTAATCGTCTAGCCAATCCTCTTGCTAGTACAGTAACACCCACATCGAGTAACTTGGCATGTAAATGTGAAAATGAACCATGCTCTTCTTTCTGCAGGAAACTTGTTGATGATAGCATTTGTGAGTTACTTTGGTGCGAAACTTCATAGACCAAGAATAATTACTTTGGGGTGCACAGTTATGTCTTTTGGCTGTCTTTTGATATCACTACCTCATTTTCTCATGGAACGGTGAGTATTTAGCTAAGGATGGACCAGATTGTGGTATGCTTACTCTCCTTGAGTAATACGTTATTCCACAAGTGGTCCCAATGAAATCAGTAGGACCACTTGTGGAGTAAGGTATGCTCAGCATGAATCAGGGTATCAGAATTTGGTTCTTTTTTTTTTTTTTTGCAAGGGCTTCAGAAGTTAATAACTACTTCCTAACCACGGATTAACGGTTGGGAGATTCACATCTCTACTGGGCAACCCATAGGTGCTGACTTTTATTTTTCCTTAGGGGTGCTCCACCCTGCTCTGCCCCAAAGCCCCTTCCCCACCCTGTTCCCTCCCTGAGGCCCTGCCCTGCCTCTTCCCACCCCCACTGTGCCCCTCCCCTGAGGCTCCACCCTCACTCCGCCTCTTCCTGCCCCCTCTTCAACCCCCACCCACTCACTGCTCTCCGCCCTCCCCCAAGTGCCTCCCGCAGCCACCAAACAGCTGATCAGCAGCACGACCAAACAGCTGTGGCAGGTGGGTGCTGACCACCCACTATTTTTTTTTCTGTGGGTGCCTGAGCACTGGAGCACCCATGCAGTCAGCGCCTATGGGGCAACCTATGTTTTTCCATTTTGTTTCATCTCCTGATCCGAGTGGGCAGTTGTCACCATGGATGATTACCTCCCTGTTCTGTGATGTCTCAGCAGGGGAAGCTCCAAGTTGCATTGCCCTCTATTCCTATCATATTACGATACCATAGTAGTATTATTAGTATACCTTATTATATTTTCTTGGTCCCGAAATCTCTTTCTCCTGTATCGCCTGTGTCTGTAATGATGCCTACATCACCTCAAGTAATATCACACATGTACATCACTGACTTGTATCCCCCTCTACAAAATCCTTTTTCATGGCTTCATCTCCTCTGGCCTTGACTGATTCAACTCTTTCCTATATGGATTTCCCAAGTCCCAGCTCTCTGGCTGCAGCACAAATGGAATATAGGTTTCTATTATAGGGTTTCTTTAATCTTCATCTGAAACATCTGATACTGGATTCTGTCAGAAACTGAATACTGGAGTGGATAGACCACACGTCTGATCCAGTATGACAGTTTCTTTATTCCAGAGATGACTTTTGGTTAATGAATGGAACATTCAATGAACTTTAAATTCTTATTATATCTAGTAATTCCTTTCCTAAACAGCTTTAATACAAGAGAACAGCTTTATGAGCTGGATCTGATATATTCTCTCTTTAATTTGGAAACATTTTACTTTGGCTCAAACAGGTATCAGTATGAAACTGCCCTTTCACCATTAGAGAATTCTTCATCAAGCATGTCCATGTGTCTCATAAATCAAATCCAGTCCTCCACATCTATGGAGAAGCAATCAGCAGGTGGGTCTCTTTCTGTGTCTAGTGCTCCTTTTTTGCTTAATTACTTTTGTAGGTTTTGAGTAGGCTGCATGTGTTTCATTAATGCTTTTTCTAGGGCTCAAGGTTAGGTATAAAAAGCTGCAGAACTCAGGCAGTTTCCTCGCTTTAGTTTTTTTCTTTAGGGCAGTGTAATAGTCTGTTGCCCTAGAGACATTCATGGTTCCATGTGCAGGTCTTATAATGTTCACAGGCATGGGTGGCCCTTCCTTCACTGCCTGATTGTGAGAAAAGCTAACAGAACACAGATTTTGGAAACACTCTCTAGGCTACCTCGCACGAACAAGGCAGCATTGCGAGTGCTGGGAAAATGGGTAAGAGATATAAGAATTCCACCTTGTTCTTTCAAGCAGTGGAGAAAAGGAGGAGGAGGAGCAGAGAAGAGAAATAGCATCTACTCCCTTTCAATAGACGGTATGTGTGATGGGGGAGAAACTAGATGCTATAAACTAGGGTCTGTAGCTTATTTTATTGCTTGAAACATGCAAGTACATTGCCAGTGCCATATTAATGTAAATTAATGATATTGTTATCAAATGGCACTACAGAGACCAATGAAATACTCATGGCATAGCATCCTGCCACTAAGTTGTTATATTTTTGCCATGGTGTTCCATCAATCTATGATAAGGGTGTGTCATGTTGATGCAATATTATTATGCAAACTTTGCAACATAAAGACAGGATGTCATTATTTTTTGTTTTTTTGTGGCTCAATTTAATGAAGAACATGGCCTTCAAGCTCTTCATGGTTCTGCATCACTGTTCTGGGACTTAAAGAAAAATGAAAATAATACATGCTACTTAATACTACATGCTACTTAACAACCACACTTTGTGTTACATATCACCTTTCATCTGAGGATTTAGAAAATTGTTTGCCTCATTTTATGAAGGCAGAATATGCTACACAGAGAAGTTAAACAGTTTGCCTAGGTTATACAGCAAATCAGTATGCAAGTAAGGAATATAACCCAGAAGTCCTTATTCCAAGTCATTTGCTTTGGGCAAATTATTTTGGTTTCACTATGAACATTGTTAGATTTGCATAGCTCTGTACGAATTTTCAGCCTGAGTTTTCAGTTTAAGTGATAGCACAAAATATTAGTTTTATACAACTGTAAACTGAATCTTCTGACAAGGTTATTGAATTTTGAGCTAGCTCAGCCCAGTAGTTTTAAGGTGGCATCAATTTTGGGAACCTTAAGTCAGATCTTGAAAGGCAAAAAAGCTTTCAGAAGGGCTGATAGAAAAATTTCAAGTGAAACATTTTCATATTGGAAAATGAGATGTTTTTAAAATCAATTTTCTGCAGGAAAAGATAATCTTCAGCAAATTTTCCATCAGGAATATTGAAACAAAATGCTTCAGTTCAGGGAGTTCAACCCAAAACAGTGAGCACAGCAAGTCAGCCACAGGGAGAGACCATTGGGGTATCATGGGAGATGGTGTGTAGCCAGGTAGCAGTACCCATAGGAAAGAATCAGAAAAGAGGTTTTCCTGGTTTGTGTTGGTTTGGAACTGTCAAAATGTTTCATTTTGATAAAAAATGTCAAAATATAATGCACCATTTCCAAACTGAAATTTTCTACAACTTTTTTTATTTTAAGAAAAATTTTGATATTTTGTACTCATTTGGGATGAAAAAAAATGGTGAAATATCCTTATGTTCCATGGGACAGATATGCTGTTTTTGAATCATCTCTTACTTGTGGTTCACAAAGGTTTTTTCTGTCATTTTAAGGATACACTTCTATTCCATGAATTATCTAGGGGTCAAATTCTGCCAGGCCTTTATGCAGGTAAACAGCAATTTTGGAGGAGGAAGAGATGGTGCAAGGACCTTCACCTAAAGGCCAGGCAGAATTTCAGAATCTTGTGCTCGCAAGAATGCAGGCACCATTGTCTGCTACTGACCTCAAAGTTACAGTGGCCCAGTGCGTGGAGAGGAGGCAAAGATCTGGCCTAGGCAGTGACCAACACTCCTGACTGTGTGGAGGGAGTAAGTTGCACTCCATAAAGTGATGTAGCAGCAGGCATAATGCCTCTGAGGCAAACTCTTTACCAGTTCTCTTACTGGGTTACTATGTATGACTCCTCATTGCCCCATTCTCTGGGCTGGGCCTATAAGGCCCTATTAAACCCTAAGTGGTGAGATGGCTTTTCATATTCATTTCTCTTTGTAGAAAATATTTCATTTCCAGGCAACATTAAAACCACTAATACAGGTTTCTTGTTTTATTCACAGAGTGCGAACAAAAGTCTGGGTCCTTGATGTGGGTGTTTGTGTTGGTAGGAAACATGATACGAGGCATTGGTGAAACTCCCATCATGCCGTTAGTTATTTCATATGTGGAGGATTTTTCCAAAGCAGAAAATTCACCTTTTTACATAGGTATATCTTCAAGTGCTCAACATTGTTGTGTCATGTGCTGGCTTAAAAAAAAACAAAAAAACCACCCCCGCCCACCCTTTTTGGCTGTTCAAGGTAAATAGTGCACCAAAATTCTTTTTATTTATTTACCTAGTAGTCAGAGGTGGGTGCACACTCCAGAAAATGTCATTCAACTATCAGTTCAAATGTTTAAATGAATTTGAGTGTTCATTGATTGTATTTGCACCCATGAAGGCTGGGATCCTGCATTGAGAATCAACTGAGCAGACCCTTGAGCGTAGGTGGAGCCCCACTTAAATCAATGGAGCTCTGCCTGGGTTTAGGGATTTACCTTTGTGCCCTTTAGCATTCGCTTTCTTTAAATATTCTAGTGAAAAAGTTACTTGGTTGGTATATTTGACTGAACAAAAAACAGACGACTTGATCCAAAGCCCGTTAAAATCAATGGAAAGACTCCGGCCCATGAAGCACATACAGGAGAACAGGGACAGCAAGTGAATTTCAGATTTATAAGCAAGCAGCCCTGATATTAAGTGTCAACCAGAGAACAAAGTATGCTAGGGCACTTATAGAATCATAGAAGTGTAGGACTGTCAGGGACCTCATCTAGGTTCAGTCCCCTGCATGCCAGGCAGGACTAAGCAATAACTAGACCTCTCCTGACAGGTGTTTGTCTAACTTTTTCTTAATAACCTCCAATGATGGAGACTCCACCACCTCCCTAGGAAGTTTGTTCCAGAGCTTAACCACCCTGACAGTTAGGAAGTTTTTCCTAATGTCCAATCTAAACCTCCCTTGCTGCAATTTAAACCCATTGCTTCTTGTCCTTTCCTCAGAGGTTAATGAGATCAATTTCTCACTTTCCTCCTGGTAACAATCTTTTACGTATTTAAAAACTGTTGTCACGTTCCCCCCCCAGTTGTCTCTTCTCCAGACTAAACAAACCCAATTTTTCCAATCTTTCCTTGTATGTCATGTTTTCTACACCGTTCATCATTATTATTGTTCTTCTCTGGACTTTCTCCAATTTGCCCACATCTTTCCCGAAATGTGGCGCCCAGAACTGGACACAATACTACAGCTGAGGCCTTAGCATGGAGTAGAGTAGAAGCAAGTCAGCGACAGAGCTGGGAATAGAACCCAGGACTTCTGACTCAAAGTCCACTGCATTAACCACTAGGCAACACTCCCTTCCTGTGTGCCCAATCAATTGAACTGGACTAAAAACAAAACTATTTTCCATGAAAATAACTCTCTGTAGGTCTAATTTTGTGTATTTTCCCCCTTTCCCAATTTTAGGGTGCCTACAGATAGCAACTGTGATAGGTCCTTTTATTGGTTTCATGTTGGGATCATATTGTGCACAGCTGTATGTGGATCTGGGTTTCACAGATATAGGTAATGAACTAATATATATAAATAAAATTTGTATGTATTAATCAACAGGGATGATTTGTGTATATCTCAGCATCAACTGCACTTGTAGTTTTCTGCCAGTTTGCTAGTAATAGTTTTCTGATGGAAAATCATATGTTGTTCAGTTCAACAAAATCACCTGAATTCAAACATGAGTGAAAGAATCTGTCAAACAGATCATCTGGTAAATTATTCTGTCATCTGAGATAGTTTAACAGTAAAAAAAAAACATATTCAATAAAGAACACTCAGATTTGGCAGATAAATTATTTGCATAAAAAAGAGATATTGGTGACCTCCACAAGCCTCATTTTAAGAGGTACTTTGAATCTTTCAAACAGTTTTATTCTATCTTAAATATGAGAAGTAACCAGCACAACCAATGACCACAGGGAAAGATAACTCAGAGCTAATCAGATGTGTGTTCCTTTATTTTTAGAGGAGGTGACTATAACACTTACTGATGCCCGTTGGGTTGGGGCATGGTGGCTGGGCATTCTGATTTGTGGATCAGTAAATCTGCTCACTGGAATACCTTTTTGTTTTCTGCCCGAGTCCCTTCCAAAGGAAGGACAAGCAAGTGATACTGAGCTATTAAGTAAGATAAATGAATCAAAAGAGAGAGGTGAAACTCAAGCCAAATGGAAAATGCGTGAAATCACTAAAGGTAAGTTAAGCTAACTATCTCCTAAATGTACAATTGTCATTTTCTGGTAGAACACATTAAAACCAGCACCATACTAGGTAAGTCTTTCTTTTCTCTATATGATTAGACTCTGTGTGTTTTATAACTAAAGATGGTACCGAGTTGCAACATTCACACAGTGATTTTCAACTCCCCAAAGTATAAGGGTGTTGGATCTGGGATTTTGGATTGGCCCCTTATAGAGATAAATGCCTGCTTTGAAATTGAGATCCAGATTCACCTCCCCACTTCTCCTAAATTTCAGGGGAGTTTTGATCTGGAGTTTTGCTTCCAGCCAACCACTAATTATAACTAGAGCTGGGAAAGACTACTGTACACTGACAAAGTTTAGAAAATGAAACTGAAAAAAATCACAGGAAGTTGCAAATCTTAGAGGGTGAAATCCCCTCTCCGCGTTTCCCTAGGCAGAGAACCAGCGCAAGGCCTGTGCGCCACTTAAGTTCCAATTAAATCCTCAAAACAGGACCTACAAGGCACTCAAGTGGTTCATAGGCCTCTGAAAACAGGTGGATTTCACCAGAAAGATTTACTAATTTTTTTTTTTTTACTGTTGCATGGATATAGATAACAAGCTTTATATTTGTAAATTTCCAGGTTTTCTATATGTGGTATACCTTGTTTTTTCTTTTAATTTCTGTATGTCCTCCAGTTCTTCATATTGACCCTTTAGGAACATAAATAACTAAAATTCATTATAGGAGAAGATTGTCGGAAGAGACTAGTGGTACTGGATGTCCCAATAGAGACATTTTAACAGGCCCTAGTTTTTAGAAAGGGCTGAGCACATGCACTCTGAAAAGCTTATCCCTTGAAGGTATCTCAAGATAGGTGCCACTTCACATTCAATGTACCCAAAATCATTAGTTACTTTTGAAAACCTATATTAAATCTTCACTCTGTTAAATACAAGGTCATTTCTTTTCAGTCGCGTAGTCCAAAAATCAACAGCCAGTTTTCCTTCCATGAAGTAATCTTTTGACAAAGAAAGGAGCCCATTTCATCACTCAGCATTTCTAGTCCTGCAGTGTTATCTAAGAGCACTTTTCTTTCTATTATCATTCATAGGAGCAGCACTTTTTATTATATTTATGTGGAAGTCCACTGACCCTAAAAATCCCTAATTAAAAGGTGTCTTGGTTTCAAGTGAAAAATCCACTTTGTGTCGTTCAACTTAACACTCCCATCCCTTTCCCAGAATGTTTTGATCCAAGACCATGTGGCATCTACAAACAAGGCAGCCTGCTCATAGCATTTCAGCCATTAGAGACATTTTGGCTTTTTTATTATAAACTAAACAATATTGTGAGACTGATGTATTAACCCTCATTTACTGAGATACTAGTCCTCCCTCCCTCAAAAGATATACTTCAATGAAAAGCGGTGCTCATTTTCGACAAATTGTGGTCATTGTGTTATAAAAGTTTCAGTTTGTTTTGCAAAGTTTCTTGACAGTAGATCAGCACACTAGCTAGTGCAAAAAATTAAACAGAGAGGAATTATTTTTTTTATGGTTTGGATTCTGATTCTGCAAACTTTACTCAAGCATAACTCCCAAAGATACCCAGTCCCAATAACGTTTGACTGAATGAGAACTCAGGATTAAGTACTTAGAAGTGTGGTGGAAGAGACAGTGGTTAGATCCTAGGTAGCCATTATGAGACCAGCAGTGCAGCATTTCAGGAATGCAAAATCTGAAAGAATGATGAGATCTTGTTAGCATGGTGCAGTGGGAAGAAGCATTAATATCCATGTGTATATAATATATGTGGGACATGCTTAAAGAAGTAATAGTTAAAAATTAAATGTATATGAATTCCACTGTGAAAGAAAAATGGATGGAACCAAGAATGCCTGCACGAAAGGAATGAGGACAATAAAAGATCCTGTACTGGAAATGGAGGGGAGGGAGAGACTCAAACAAGAAGAGAGTCAATTAAGGTTTTTGTTTAAAAGATGAGGGCAGGAAAACAAACCCGGAACGAGTTAATGCTACCCACACGGTTTATTAGTAACCAGAAGGTTACTAATTTATTATAGGTTTCAGAGTAACAGCCGCGTTAGTCTGTATTCGCAAAAAGAAAAGGAGTACTTGTGGCACCTTAGAGACTAACCAATTTATTTGAGCATGAGCTTTCGTGAGCTACAGCTCACTTCATCGGATGCATACCGTGGAAACTGCAGCAGATATTATATACACACAGAGATCATGAAACAATACCTCCTCCCACCCCACTGTCCTGCTGGTAATAGCTTATCTAAAGTGATCATCAAGTTGGGCCATTTCCAGCACAAATCCAGGTTTTCTCACCCTCCACCCCCCTACACAAAAACTCACTCTCCTGCTGGTAATAGCCCATCCAAAGTGACAACTCTCTTCACAATGTGCATGATAATCAAGGTGGGCCATTTCCTGCACAAATCCACAAATTGTGCAGGAAATGGCCCACCTTGATTATCATGCACATTGTGAAGAGAGTTGTCACTTTGGATGGGCTATTACCAGCAGGAGAGTGAGTTTTTGTGTAGGGGGTGGAGGGTGAGAAAACCTGGATTTGTGCTGGAAATGGCCCAACTTGATGATCACTTTAGATAAGCTATTACCAGCAGGACAGTGGGGTGGGAGGAGGTATTGTTTCATGATCTCTGTGTGTATATAATATCTGCTGCAGTTTCCACGGTATGCATCCGATGAAGTGAGCTGTAGCTCACGAAAGCTCATGCTCAAATAAATTGGTTAGTCTCTAAGGTGCCACAAGTACTCCTTTTTTTTAAAATTTATTATACAAATACATCATGATTTAAAAAAAAAGAAAAAGATAAGCACTCAGTTGTGCTTTACAGGCAGTTCCTTGGATTGGAATCGGGGTGTGTGGGGTAGGAGAGGGACATCTTGAGCTAACAAAAGACCCTCCAGGGGACCATTCCAGGTGGTGTTAGTTACAGTAGGTCTGTGGCCTCTGACCAATCCCAGCATTGAACTGGATTCAATTTAGGGCCACCTCTGCTTCCCTACTTCCTCAGCCACAATGAGCAATGTCATCTTGTAAAGCTTCAAAATAACGTGTTACATTCTTCATTCCAGATTTCATCCCATTCCTCCGGAGTCTGTTTCACAACCCAGTTTATATGTTGTTTATATGCATAACTGTGATGCAGTTCAGTGCTTTCATTGGTATGATAACCTTCATGCCAAAATATTTGGAACAACAGTATGGGAAATCTGCATCACAAGCCATCTTTTTAATAGGTACACTCCCATTATATCTCATTTTTGCCTACCAGCTGGTGACTCTGCTGAGGGCTTTATATGATAAATATTTGCACAACAAGAAAAGCTTTATTTGCTTGTGTCTCCATAGCTGTTTACAATTTACCAGTTATATGCATTGGATATTTTCTTGGAGGCTTTCTAATGAAGAAATTCAAGATAAGTACCATTCAAGCTGCCAACATAGCCTTTTGGATCTCTTTAATTGAATACCTAATCTACTTCGCTGCTTATTTCACGGTCTGTGAAAATTCTCCAGTTGCTGGTCTAACAGTCTCCTATGAAGGGTATGTTCTTTAAATCACAATACTGAAACGATCTGTCATCCCCTTGTAATAAAACCAATATTCTAGTTAGAAATGGGCCAAGGAGTCCACAGTTTGGTTTTGCAAAAACAAAACCAGGAACACTTCAGATTCAGGTTCTAATTTATCCAAACCATCAATGTCCAAGAAGGCAAAGGCAGTGAGTTTCTCTCTCCCTCCCCAACTCATCCTCCCACTCTGTATCTAAAACCATAGTGCTGAGAAGTTAGTTAACGCGGGTGTTAAGTCCACTGAGTACTCTCCTTGGAAGATGATCTATCCTAGGTCTCAAACAAAAGTGAGAATGTAGTGGAAGAGGTGAAAGTGCTGTGAACTGTGTTCATGTGTTCTGAACATTTAAATTAACCTGTTTGCCTCCAGTTTTCTAAAACATCCATGCAACAATACAGAAACAAAAATGCACATACAGTTGCATGTCCCACTGGCACTTGTGACTAATACAATCGTATATTCCAGTCAGATATTTGCTGGTGTAAGTGGCCAGTTATGTGTCTGGCTGACCATTCACATATGTAATTGCAATAACAGAGGGACATACAGGAGCTTTTTATTTAAATATTATTTTCATGTAGATAACATGGAATGTTTTATCTGCAGTTTCTTGATTTGAAGGTTGCCACGAATCTGTATGTGTGTGCCTGTGTGTATACAAACCTATACTTACACACACACACACACACACACGAACAGATGATATAAGCACCATAGTCTATGAAAGTCATGTTGTACAGCAGTCGTAGTATATCTCTGTGGACTGTACAATGTCTCGAGCCAAAAAAATTACACAGAAGAAAGACTAAATTCTAAGGGTCTGACCAATTAATGTTTTATGTGAAAAGTGCAGGGCCGAGTCCTGGAAAAGTTCCTGACCTACCAAGAGAGTTTTATGTAGTCAATGATAAGAAGCTTCTATTGGGGGGTTGTTTTAGGCGGTGGTGATGGTTGTTTTTTAACTCCTTAATTGTTTATTCACCTTTTAAATATATTTCAGAATAGAACAGGTCTCATACATGGAAACAACCCTACTTGCTGACTGTAACAGTGATTGTGGTTGCTCAAGTAAAGTGTGGGACCCCGTTTGTGGGAAGAATGGAATAACGTATGTTTCACCTTGTCTTGCTGGTTGTAAAGCTTCAGATGGAACAAGCAAATATACAGTAAGGCCTACCAGCTCACATTATGAAATCTAGATAGCATGGTGCAGTGGGATATATACATATAAATTTGACAAGGATTTTAAAGAGTGATAATTAGAGATGGGCAAAGTGGTTTGGGTACAATAAGGACTGACCTGACCCTTTGCCCCAAATTCAAACTGACTCTGAAAATTTGGAGCTTGAATTAGTTCAATTAAGTTTAAAGAAAACAAAAGATTGAACAAGCCTCTTCTCTTTTATGGAATAGACAGAAGTGGAAATACCAAAATACCATTTGAGAAGTTATGCCTCTGGTATTTTCCACTTGTCTGAAACCTGGAAGTGCCAGTGTTTAAAGCAGTCTAAAAAAGTGGGGGATCTATCATAATCTGGACGCAGCATCTTTGGTAAGATAGTGCTGAAAGTCTCAGCAATCAAGTGCAATTTTAATCGGGGCAGGGGTCAGGTCTTTGACCCTTGCACACAGGCCCCCCACCACCTTTTTAAACACTGGGAAGCACTAGAAATCTCACAAAAATAATAGAATTCTAAAGCAGGGCTATAATGATCTGTAACAGGATGACAGGTTTCAGAGTAGCAGCCGTGTTAGTCTGTATTCGCAAAAAGAAAAGGAGTACTTGTGGCACCTTAGAGACTAACCAATTTATTTGAGCATAAGCTTTCGTGAGCTACAGCTCACTTCATCGGATGCATAAAGTGGAAAATACAGTGAGGAGATTTATATACACACAGACCATGAAAAAATGTGTGTTTATCATACACATCGTAAGGAGAGTGATCACTTAAGATGAGCTATTACCAGCAGGAAAGTAGGGTGGGGGGAGAGAAAACCTTTTGAAGTGATAATCAAGGTGGGCCATTTCCAGCACATTTCCAGGAGTTAACAAGAACGTCTGAGGAACAGTGCGGGGGGAGGGGAGGGGGGAGGGATAAACAAGGGGAAGTAGTTTTACTTTGTATAATGACTCAACCACTCCCAGTCTCTATTCAAGCCTAAATTAATTGTATCCAATTTGCAAATTAATTCCAATTCAGCAGTCTCTCCTTGGAGTCTGTTTTTGAATTTTTTTTTTTGTTGAAGAATAGTCACTTTCGATCAGAAATCGAGTGACCAGAGAGATTGAAGTGTTCTCTGACTGGTTTATGAATGTTATAATTCTTGACATCTGATTTGTGTCCATTTATTCGTTTACATAGAGACTGTTCAGTTTGACCAATGTACATGGCAGAGGGGCATTGCTGGCACATGATGGCATATATGACATTGGTAGATGTGTAGGTGAAAGAGCCTCTGATAATGTGGTTGATGTGATTAGGCCCTGTGATGGTGTCCCCTGAATAGATATGTGGGCACAGTTGGCAACGGGCTTTGTTGCAAGGATAGGTTCCTGGGTTAGTGGTTCTGTTGTGTGGTTTGTGGTTGCTGGTGAGTATTCGCTTCAGGTTAGGGGGCTGTCTGTAGGCAAGGACTGACTTGTCTCCCAAGATTTGTGAGAGTGTTGGGTCATCCTTCAGGATAGGTTGTAGATCCTTGATAATGCGTTGGAGGGGTTTTAGTTGGGGGCTGAAGGTGACGGCTAGTGGTGTTCTGTTATTTTCTTTGTTAGACCTGTCCTGTAGTAGGTGACTTCTGGGAACTCTTCTGGCTCTATCAATCTGTTTCTTCACTTCTGCAGGTCGGTATTGTAGTTGTAAGAATGCTTGATAGAGATCTTGTAGGTGTTTGTCTCTGTCTGAGGGGTTGGAGCAAATGCGGTTGTATCGCAGAGCTTGGCTGTAGACGATGGATCGTGTGGTGTGGTCAGGGTGAAAGCTGGAGGCATGTAGGTAGGAATAGCGGTCAGTAGGTTTCCGGTATAGGGTGGTGTTTATGTGACCATCGTTTATTAGCACTGTAGTGTCCGGGAAGTGGATCTCTTGTGTGGACTGGACCAGGCTGAGGTTGATGGTGCGATGGAAATTGTTGAAATCATGGTGGAATTCCTCAACAGCTTCTTTTCCATGGGTCCAGATGATGAAGATATCATCAATATAGCGCAAGTAGAGTAGGGGCGTTAGGGGATGAGAGCTGAGGAATCGTTGTTCTAAGTCAGCCATAAAAATGTTGGCAGAGACTGGGAGTGGCTAAGTCATTATGCAAGGTAACCTATTACCCCTTGTTTTCCTAACACCACCCCCCCTCCCCTTCCTCAGACGTTCTTGTTAAACCCTGGATTTGTGCTGGAAATGGCCCACCTTGATTATCATACACATTATAAGGAGAGTGATCACTTTACATAAGGTATTACCAGCAGGAGAGTGGGGTGGGGGGAGAGAAAACCTTTTGTAGTGATAAACACCCATTTTTTCATGATTTGTGTGTATAAAAACATCTTCTGTATTTTCCACAGTATGCATCTGATGAAGTGAGCTGTAGCTCACGAAAGCTTATGCTCAAATAAATTGGTTAGTCTCTAAGGTGCCACAAGTCCTCCTTTTCTTTTTGTAACAGGATGGCTAACAAACAAACAAAAACCCTGATGAGAGGTTATTATCTTAATACGGTAAGAATTTTCCTTAAGGCTTTAGTTATAAATTCTTGCATGCTAGGTGGAACATGACTGAGAATGAGAACTGCAATACAACAAAATAAAACAAAGCCCAAAGAAGAGTTTAGAAAGTCTGAGAACCAATAAACATATTTTAAATAACTATGAGATCACACAGAGGGACAGATTTTGATGCCTTACTCATGATCATTATTCTCTTGCTCTGTGAATTGACTTCATTGGCACCTCACATGGTGTATGATACTACTAAGTGTAAGGGTATTGTAGTCTGGGCCTAAATGATTAAAACCATCTTTTGACAGGTATTTGAAAATTGCACCTGTGTTGCAGCTTCTGGATTTTCATCTGGAAATGTCTCTGCGGTTCTGGGCCAGTGTGACAAAGAAGCAAACTGTGACATGATGCTTCACTACTTTTTAATATTATCAGTAGTCTGCAGCTTCATTTATTCCTTAGGAGCCATGCCTGGATATATGGTTTTAATAAGGTACAGTAGAACGCCCTTACTGTAAGCACCCTGCTAGAAATTTTATACTGAGGTCATGCATTCCTATGAGTTGGTGGAGGTTCTCTGTCTTCTTATGCTGATTGTTAGGGCTTATATTTCAGGATAAGCTTTCTCAACTTTGGAAGGTGATTTTGCTTCTGCCCAGATTAATGGGAGCTCTTTGAGTCAGTTTACTGAGACACCTTAGCAAGGTGCATAACAACTATGAATTTACTGATCACATCTGCTCAGCATGCATATAAACGCAGCCCTGATTTAACTCCCAAAGTCTGGTCCTATCTTGCGATGGGCTCATTGCAAAACAGTGGATGGTACTGTGAGGGCAGCCTTTCCTCTGGTTATTCAAAAGTCTTGGTCAAGAATCTCAAAAAGACCTCCTCTTTCATGAGAGCCACTTAATCAAGATAATGGACCCCTGTAATTAATGGCCAAGGTAGTTGGATTCTGGTGTAATATGATGCAGAATTTGATTGACAAACCAATGGCAACTTTGTTTCGCATTTATATTGCCGACTGTTGTTCAATATACAATGCAATTCTCACGTAGGTCACTAAAGCCTGAAGAAAAGTCATTTGGTGTGGGTATCCATACACTTGCTTCAAGAGTATTTGGTAAGAAATGTTTTAAACCGTGCTGTGAGTGCAAACAAGGTCAAATGCAGAGGTCATATTCACCATATGCATCTCCACTTATCTGAAAAAAGAACTGCTGGTACAGGGGGCATGGCCAGGCAAACATGAACTTTGCTTTAGAGCCAGAGGCATCTGGCTGCAAATTACAGCAACTTTCAGTCTGGGCTAATTTATGCCAGGGACTCCATTTATGCCTCCATCTTAAAGCCACCTTGTGCCATTTTCGTCCTGCCAAATGTTCACTGAGTATAGTTCAGCTGGAAGAGATAATCTCTCCCATGGTATCTTAAATATTTCTGTTTGATGAGTGTGGGCAAATGTTGACATATGAATGGCAACTACAGTATGTATTTTTTAAACTGCAGTATAAAGTGCCAAACAAGCATCAAGAAAGAAACTACTTAGGTGGAAATAAGAGAAGGAGGCTAAGGAAAGAGAGACTCTTGTATGAACTATAGAGAAGGGGGCTGATGTAGGAAGAGGGAGGAACTGTGATGGTCCTATATTTATTCCATTAATCTGCAGAAAAGTGTGCTTCTAACATAAACATTGAAAAATGTCTTATTTATCCTCACGGTCACCCCTTTCTCTCCCTTCTAGCTGGAATTCCATCTCCCATTTATTTTGGAGCTTTGATAGACACAACATGTTTGAAATGGGGAACTCTGAGTTGTGGTGGTGAAGGAGCATGTAGGATGTATGACATTGTCACATATAGGTACAGTTTCTTTTGCACACCTATCTATATCTATTCCTCAATACTGTGTTCATCACTATAGTATCTGTTCTATTGATCTTCCTCTAGTTGACAAACCACAAAATTGGATTATAGATTTGGCCATAAACATATTCTTCAGTATACACCTATTTCCCCATTAAGGTTACCTTTGCAAAGTGTTCTGTTTCCATAACAGCTTCTCACCAAAAGTTTCTTGTTATTGCATCATGCCCGTATATTACTGCTTTCATCACAAAGAATCCTAAAATGCTTTATTATGGTACAAGTATTATTTTTTATTTATTTAATTAATTTATTTGTATTACCATAGTGCCAAAGGGCCCTAGTAATGGACTAGGACCCCATTGTGTTAGGTCTGTACAAACACCTAACAAAAAGACAAGCCTTGCCCCACAGGGCTTCTACCTCTGAAATACAGCTGCTGTTGTTGAGAAAAGTGGCAGCTGTTTAACAGCTGACAACAACATTGCATAACATCTTTGAATAGGAAGTGAAGGACACTGTCTCCAAAAGTAATTGCAGGAGTAGTTCAGGTAGAGAGAATGTAGTTTTCCAAGATGGAATTTGTCTAGGATACCATGGCTATAGCCCTCTGTAGTCCTAGAAGAAATGCTGTGAGATCTTTAAAGACCACTTGTATTCAGCTCCTTATTTATGTCTTATTGAAAAAATGGCCCCTTCAGCAGACCACTATCTACCTTTGTTAGGATATTGGTTCAATATAGGCTCAGAAGTACGAATGCCACTTCCTAAATAACCTAAGTATTACCTCATCCATGTACTGATCCAGTGTACATTGAGATCCAAAAGAATCACAGCTCAAGCCATTAGTGTACTTTCAGAGCAGCGAGATTTTACAGTGACAAGAACAAAAAGCTATGCTCTAATGCTGCAAGCAAACATGTTTTAATGAATCACACCTTTTATTCCAGATGGCTCTACCTGGGACTGCCAGCGATATTACGTGGACTATCCTACATCCCATGTGTGTTAATTCTCCTTATCTTAAAGAAACAACTTACATCTTCTGAAGAGAAGACCTTAAATAGTTCACCAATGGCAACGGAGGTCATAGAAGAGCAAAAATGACTGAACAGAGAAGCACTCCAAAAGCTCAGACTTTTGCGGGGCATATCATGAGACAGTCTCATAGTATAAACTTGAGCATATCTTTACTAATGATTGGTGATTGAAACTAGTGAACACTTGGACTGAGACTAATATAATTATTAGGGCTGTCAAGGGATTAAAAATATTAATCGCAACTAATCATGCGATTAAAAAAATTAATCACGATTAATTGTGCGATTAATTGCACTGTTAAACAACAATAGAATACCATTTATTTTAAATATTTTTGGATGTTTACTACATTTTCAAATATATTGATTTCAATTACAGCACAGAATACAAAGCGTACAGTGCTCACTTTATATTTATTTTTGATTACAAATATTTGCACTGTAAAAAACAAAAAAATTGTATTTTTCAATTCACCTCATACAAGTACTGTAGTGCAATCTCTTTATCATGAAAGTTGAACTCACAAATGTAGAATTATTTACAAAAAATTGCATTCAAAAATAAAACAATGTAAAACTTTGGAGCCTACAAGTCCACTCAGTCCTACTTCTTGGTTAGCCAACCATTCAGACAAACAAGGTTGGTTATAATTTGCAGGAGATAATGCTGCCTGCTTCTTGTTTACAATATATCACCTGAAAGTGAGAACAGGCATTGACATGGTATTGTTGTAGCTGGCGTTGCACAATATTTATGTGCCAGATGTGCTAAAGATTCATATGTCCCTTCAAGCTTCAAGCACCAGAATATATGAATATATGCACCCATGCTGATGATGGGTTCTGCTCGATAATGATCCAAAGCAGAGCAGACTGATGCATGTTCATTTTCATCATCTGAGTCAGATGCCACGAGCAGAAGGTTGATTTTCTTTTTTGGTGGTTTGGGTTCTGTAGTTTCCACATCCTAGTGTTGCTCTTTTAAGACTTCTAAAAGCGTGCTCCACACTTCATCCCTCTCAGATTTTGGATGGCACTTCAGATTCTTAAACCGTGGGTCGAGTGCTGTAGCTATTTTTAGAAATCTCACATCTGTACCTTCTTTCGTTTTGTCAAATCTGCTGTGAATGCGTTCTTAAAATGAACATGTGCTGCGTCATCATCCGAGACTGCTATAACATGAAATATATGCAGAATGCGGGTAAAACAGAGCAGCAGACATACAATTCTCCCCCCAAGGAGTACAGTCACAAATTTAATGGACACATTATTTTTTAACAAGCATCATCCACATGGAAGCATGTCCTCTGGAATGGTGGCCAAATCATGAAGGGACATATGAACATTTAGCCTATTTGCATGTAAATACCTTGCAATGCCTGCTACAAAAGTGCCATGCAAACACCTGTTCTCACTTTCAGGTGACATTGTAAATAAGAAGCAGGGAGCAGTATCTTCCATCAATGTAAACACATATGTTTGTCTTAGTGGTTGGCAGAATAAGTAGTAGGACTAAGTGGACTTATAGATTCATAGATACTAAGGTCAGAAGGGACCATTATGATCATCTAGTCTGACCTCCTGCACAACGCAGGCCACAGAATCTCACCCACCCACTCCTGCGAAAAACCTCACCTATGTCTGAGCTATTGAATTCCTCAAATCGTGGTTTAAAGACTTAAAGGAGCAGAGAATCCTCCAGCAAGTGACCCATGCCCCATGCTACAGAGGAAGGTGAAAAACCTCCAGGGCCTCTTCCAATCTGCCCTGGAAGAAAATTCCTTCCCGACCCCAAATATGGCGATCAGCTAAACCCTGAGCATATGGGCAAAATTCACCAGCCAGATACTACAGAAAATTCTTTCCTGGATAACTCAGATCCCACCCCATCTAACATCCCATCACAGGCCATTAGGCCTATTTACCATGAATATTTAAAGATCAATTAATTACCAAAATCATGTTATCCCATCATACCATCTCCTCCATAAACTTATCGAGTTTAATCTTAAAGCCAGATAGATCTTTTGCCCCCACTGCTTCCCTTGGAAGGCTATTCCAAAACTTCACTCCTCTGATGGTTAGAAACCTTCGTCTAATTTCAAGTCTAAACTTCCTGGTGGCCAGTTTATCATAGAATCATAGAATATCAGGGTTGGAAGGGACCTCAGGAGGTCATCTAGTCCAACCCCCTGCTCAAAGCAGGACCAATCCCCAATTAAATCATCCCAGCTAGGGCTTTGTCAAGCCTGACCTTAAAAACTTCTAAGGAAGGAGATTCTACCACCTCCCTAGGTAATGCATTCCAGTGTTTCACCACCCTCCTAGTAAAGAAGTTTTTCCTAATATCCAACCTAAATCTCCCCCACTGCAACTTGAGACCATTACTCCTTGTCCTGTCCTCTTCTACCACTGAGAATAGTCTAGAACCATCCTCTCTGGAACCACCACTCAGGTAGTTGAAAGCAGCTATCAAATCCCCTCTCATTCTTCTCTTCTGCAGACTAAACAATCCCAGTTCCCTCAGCCTCTCCTCATAAGTCATGTGTTCCAGACCCCTAATCATTTTTGTTGCCCTTTGCTGGACTCTCTCCAATTTATCCACATCCTTCTTGTAGTGTGGGGCCCAAACTGGACACAGTACTCCAGATGAGGCCTCACCAATGTCGAATAGAGGGGAACGATCACGCCCCTCGATCTGCTCGCTATGCCCCTACTTATACATCCCAAAATGCCATTGGCCTTCTTGACAATAAGGGCACACTGCTGACTCATATCCAGCTTCTCATCCACTGTCACCCCTAGGTCCTTTTCCGCAGAACTGCTGCCTAGCCATTCGGTCCCTAGTCTGTAGCTGTGCATTGGGTTCTTCTTATTGAATCTCATCAGATTTCTTTTGGCCCAATCCTCCAATTTGTCTAGGTCCCTCTGTATCCTATCCCTGCCCTCCAGCGTATCAACCACTCCTCCCAGTTTAGTATCATCCGCAAATTTGCTGAGAGTGCAATCCACACCATCCTCCAGATCATTTATGAAGATATTGAACAAAACCGGCCCCAGGACCGACCCCTGGGGCACTCCACTTGACACTGGCTGCCAGCTAGACATGGAGCCATTGATCACTGCCCGTTGAGCCCGACAATCTAGCCAACTTTCTACCCACCTTATAATGCATTCATCCAGCCCGTACTTCTTTAACTTGCTGACAAGAATACTGTGGGAGACCGTGTCAAAAGCTTTGCTAAAGTCAAGAAACAATACATCCACTGCTTTCCCTTCATCCACAGAACCAGTAATCTCATCATAGAAGGTGATTAGATTAGGCAGGCATGACCTGCAAACTTGGTGAATCCATGCTGACTGTTCCTGATCACTTTCCTCTCATGTAAGTGCTTCAGGATTGATTTCTTGAGGACCTGCTCCATGATTTTTCCAGGGACTGAGGTGAGGCTGACTGGCCTGTAGTTCCCAGGATCCTCCTTCTTCCCTTTTTTAAAGATTGGCACTACATTAGCCTTTTTCCAGTCATCTGGGACTTCCCCCGTTCGCCACGAGTTTTCAAAGATAAAAAATTCTTATATCCATTTGTTCTTGTGTCCACATTGGTACTGAGCTTAAATAATTCCTCTCCCTCTCCAGTATTTATCCCTCTGATATATTTATAGAGAGCAATCATATCTCCCCTCAACCTTCTTTTAGTTAAGCTAAACAAGCCAAGCTTCTTGAGTCTCCTTTCATAAGACAAGTTTTCCATTCCTCGGATCATCTTAGTAGCCCTTCTCTGTACCTGTTCCAGTTTGAATTCATCCTTCTTAAACATGGGAGAACAGAACTGCACACAGTATTCCAGGTGAGGTCTCAGCAGTGCCTTGTATAACGGTACTAAAACCTCCTTATTCCTACTGGAAATACCTGTCTTGATGCATCCCAAGACCGCATTAGCTTTTTTCACAGCCATATCATATTGGCGGCTCATAGTCATCCTATGATCAACCAATAGTCCAAGGTCCTTCTCCTCCTCCGTTACTCCCAGTTGATGTGTCCCCAGCTTATAACTAAAATTCTTGTTATTAATCCCTAAATGCATAACCTTACACTTCTCACTATTAAATTTCATCCTATTAGTGTTACCCCAGTTTACAAGGTCATCCAGATCCTCCTGTATGATATCTCGGTCCTTCTCTAAATTGGCAATACCTCCCAGCTTTGTATCATCCGCAAACTTTATTAGCACATTCCCACTTTTTATGCTGAGGTCAGTAATAAAAAGATTAAATAAGATTGGTCCCAAAACTGATCCTTGAGGAACTCCACTGGTAACCTCCCTTCAGCCTGACAGTTCACCTTTCAGTATGACCCGCTGTAGTCTCCCCTTTAGCCAATTCCTTATCCACCTTTCAGTGTTCATATTGATCCCCATCTTTTCCAATTTAACTAATAATTCCCCTTGTGGCACAGTATCAAACGCCTTACTGAAATCTAGGTAAATTAGATCCACTGCGTTTCCTTTGTCTAAAAAATCTGTTACTTTCTCAAAGAAGGAGATCAGGTTGGTTTGGCACAATCTACCTTTTGTAAAACCATGTTGTATTTTGTCCCATTTACCATTGACTTCAATGTCCTTAACTACTTTCTCCTTCAAAATTTTCTCCAAGACCTTGCATACTACAGATGTCAAACTAACAGGCCTGTAGTTACCTGGATCACTTTTTTTCCCTTTCTTAAAAATAGGAACTATGTTAGCAATTCTCCAATCATACGGTACAACTCCTGAGTTTACAGATTCATTAAAAATTCTTGCTAATGGGCTTGCAATTTTGGTTGCCAATTCCTTTAATATTCTTGGATGAAGATTATCTGGGCCCCCCGATTTAGTTCCATTAAGCTGTTTGAGTTTCGCTTCTACCTCTGATTTCGTAATATCTACCTGCATATCCTCATTCCCATTTGTCATGCTACCATTATCCCTAAGATCCTCTTTAGCCTTATTAAAGACTGAGGCAAAGTATTTGTTTAGATATTGGGCCATGCCTAGATTATCCTTAACCTCCTCTCCATCCTCAGTGTTTAGCGGTCCCACTTCTTCTTTCTTTGTTTTCTTCTTATTTATATGGCTATAGAACCTTTTACTGTTGGTTTTAATTCCCTTTGCAAGGTCCAACTCTACTTGACTTTTAGCCTGTCTCACTTTTATCCCTACATGTTCTGACCTCAAAAAGGTAGCTTTCCTTGCTGATCCCTCCCATCTTCCACTGCCTGTATGCTTTCTGCTTTTTCTTAATCACCTCTCTGAGATGCTTGCTCATCCAACTTGGTCTACAACTCCTGCCTATGATTTTTTCCCCCTTTCTTGGGATGCAGGCTTTTGTAGCTTTGATTTAAAATAATCCCAGGCCTCCTCTACCTGTAGATCCATAAGTTCTTCAGTCCAATCCTCTTCCCTAGCTAATTTCCTTAATTTTTGAAAGTCAGCCCTTTTGAAATCAAAAACCCTAGTTGCAGATTTATTTTTGTTAATCCTTCCGTTCAGTTTGAACTGAATTAGCTCATGATAACTCGAACCAAGGTTGTCCCCTACAGCCATTTCTTCTATGAGGTCCTCACTACTCACCAAAACCAAATCTAAAATGGCATCCCCTCTAGTCGGTTCAGCAACTACTTGATGAAGGAATCCATCAGCTATCGCATCTAGGAAAATCTGAGCCCTATTATTATTACTAGCACTCGTCCTCCAGTCTACATCTGGGAAGTTAAAGTCTCCCATGATCACGCAGTTTCCATTAGTATTTACTTCATTAAAAACATTAAAGAGGGCTCTATCCATATCCAAAGTAGATCCCGGCAGTCTATAGCACACCCCAAGCACTATCCCAGGGGAGGCTCAAGTAGCTTTCTTCCCCAATGTGATTTTTGCCCAGACGGACTCTTTCTTATCCATTCCATCGCTTCTTATTTCTTTACATTCTACCTCATCATTGATATACAATGCTACTCCACCACCTTTGCCTTTATTTCTGTCTTTCCTAAACAGCACATACCCTTCAATACCTGTAGTCCAGTCATGACTACTATTCCACCATGTTTCTCTTATCCCTATAATATCTGGTTTCACTTCCTGCACCACTAGCTCTAGTTCCTCCATTTTGTTACCTAGGCTCCTCACATTGGTGTACAAACATCTTAATTTTTGCTGTTTGGCCTCACTCACATTCTGTACCCTATTAGGCACGGTCATTCTACAGCCAGTATAACCTATTAGACTGGTATCCACACTGCCCTTCCTCCTTATGTCCATTCTCCTACCCATGGCTGTATCCTTTCTTACTTTGTTTTCTTCCCTCTCAATGCTACAATCCGGCGTGGAGATTAGCTGGACATCTCCCAACCAT